GAGAGAGAGAGAGAGAGAGAGAGAGAGAGAGAGAGAGAGAGAGAGAAGGATGATTCACCGTTTTCGATCAACAACATCGTAAATTCCAGAATCGCGCGCGAGTCCATCCTCCTTATCTCACTCAGAGTCTCGATTTAATGAATGAGATGCGAGAACATGCCGCGCGCGCGAGCGAGAGAGAAGTCTCGAGGAAATAAACGCGAATTTCAACATAATCGTTTTCACCTGCGCAAACATTGCACGAGTCTGTCACTGACCTACGTGAACTTTTTCGGCCATCGCTGTGTTTTCGGACGCATCTGTGCAAACCGTCGTAAATTGCACGACGCGCGAAAATATCGGCGCGTCTCTGTTTGCCAATCGTCTGCTCCCGACAGGTATATATAAGGACGAATCAAAGTCGTCGTCGTCGTCGACGTCGTCGTTCGTCCAGATGAGATTTTTGTGCGATTTCCCGCGGACCTGGTGTAACACGTGCGCACACGATGCGTTACCTCGGCAGAATCGGCGACATCGCGAAAATACAAGCGCGTTCGTTGCCTCGTATTTTCGCTCTTTCCGCCCGGGCACCTTTGGAACGCGTTAAAAAAGTCATTGTTTGTTCTACGCAGCAGCGCTGTGGCGCGCGCGCGCGCGCGCGCGTTTGAATCGAGCATTTCCCGACCGAGATGCTCCTTTTCCATTGCGATGATTATGCCGAGACGGGAGTCTCCGAATTTTCGTATTTAACGCGACGTCATGTGTGTGTACATAACGTGTAAGCGTTACGAGCAGCTTGGGGAATAAACGGGTTCAACGAATGTTTTATTCATTCTGATTGTTTTATCGTGAGTAGAGCCAGTTCAGTGTTCTAACACCTTGGAACAGCGTGTCGCAATTGTGTCTCTGTAACAGCGAAACTCGCTGATTATTTCTCTATATATAGCAGGCAATAATATTTATTTTAAATTACTTTAGGACGCTAAGCGACTCAGTGAGACACGTACGTTTGTACGTTTCTTTCCGTACTTGATCGCAAATCGTAACGAAGAAGCAACTTTCATCGGTAAACCGTGACATTTCGTCACTTCCAAGGATTCCGTTAGTGGCGTGTAGTAAACAAATTACATCATAATGTACACATGTGTGTGTACACACACACACACACACACACACACACTCTGAGAGAAGGGTGATTGTGCTCCCAAGTTCTGACTGTCGAAAGGAGGATGTACAAAATATATGACAACTCCTGAGGACAACGATAAATCAAAAAACCTATGGCAAATCATAGTTCTCTATCTGTATTTTAATTTTGTCAATGGGCATTTTGCTGTATTCAATTTGTGGCCGAAAAGAGATACAGGTAGCTGAAGTGTCGTCAAAGTTTCGATACGTTTACTCTTGCATCTCCCCAATGCCTTTATTAAATTTCATCAAACTTTGAATGATTGCTTATTATTAGTAAAGAAACAATTATTCTGCAAAGTGTCAGAAACTCTAGATTAGATGATTTGAACACTTAAATAGGGGTATAATAATTGAATCGTCTGACGACTCTAGTTAATTTTAGTTTTCAGCTAATTGCTTTTTCACATTTTTCCGTATTCAATTATGTTTATACACATTTATTCAGAGGAGTGATTCTTTTTCCATGTATTCTATTTTACACACACACACACACACACACACACATATGTATACATTTACGGACACGGATGCTATATACTGCATATTAGCGTATAAAAGAACATCATTTTTCAACTGAATAACGACTTAAAGTCATTTGATGTGATGTAGTCTGTGTATAAATCTCTTATAACATGTATTGTACTCCGAACATGATCGAAAAGGTTCCTCATTTTTGCGAAATATAAATATTTATATAAAGTTTCAAGTCCTATATCTCGTTTCGGACATTTTGGACAGAAATGAGCTCAGGAGATTTGATGTGCTCGAGGAGTACTATCTTTTGGCATAGGTTTCATTGGTACAGTTCCGCTCTCTCTCTCTCTCTCTCTCTCTCTCTCTCTCTCTCTCTCTCTCTCTCTCTCTCTCCCTCTCTC